ATATCTCCCTTCCGCTTTTTTGTCTTTTGAATTTCGCGGCTATGTACAAAGCGCTACAGAGCTGGCAACACTATACATAATTTGAAAGGTCTTGACATAACCTACNATTGAATGAAGAGCAAAAAAGCGGAAGGGGGATATTTGACAACCTATATTATTGTTTTTTTTTCATTATTATTTTTTTTTATTATTATTTCTTATTGCTATTTTTTATTACTATTTTTCAATATTATTTTTAGTACTATTTTTTTAATATCTTTCTATTGTTATTTCTAATTGTAATTCGCTATTATTATTTTTAATTATTATTTTTTTATTAAAATCATTTTTTATTATTATTATTTCTTTATTAAAATTTTTTAATTATATATATTTATAACTTTTTTATTATTAATTTTTTATTATAACTTTTTATTGGTATTTTTATTTTGTTATTTTTTTATTGCAATTTTTTATCTAATTATCTTCGCCATTATTTAGTAAACTTGATTTAATTAGCGTCAGAAGTGTCGAGAAATCTAATAAAATTCCACTAAATATCAAATAATCAATGGCAACAGCATCAATTAAAAATGTCACACTCAATTGCCTGCTGTGGGTACATAATTGATAATTACACAATTTTCTGCCAAAGCCAACTGACCGACTAGCATTGATGCCGCCGCACTGTTACATCAAGCAAAAGTACGAAATTGAATTATTATCAATAAAGTGGAATATTATTGAAATGAAACAATCCAAATAATTTAAAAAAAAATCTCAAATTAAAAAAAATATAATCTAGTAAAAAGTTAACCATTATTTTTGCATCACATTGATTACGCTAGATGGCGCTGGAAAATATGATATTTTGAACTAAAAAAGATAACGGTTCCATGTTGATCACTTAGTAGTGCTTAAGCGCATAAAATGCTGGATATACCAAGAAGCTGAATGTATGGGTCGAATTTCCATCTGCTAATCGTTGCTGAATCGTAACAAAATCGATCCGTTTCTGTAGCGGATGGTGACATTAAACTCGAATGGCAGTGAGCCGGCACAAACGATGGACACCGCCAAGATTGACAGTCAGGAAAGTTTTGAGCTGCTCCAATACTGTCAAACTCTTACGTCCGACTTCTACTCTTAACAATTGGACCGTCTGAAGGCATGCAATCGCACTGAAGCGCCTAGTTTTGGACAAGATGAGAGGAATTATGTTTCATCAGGACAACAACAGACCACACGAATCTATATTGTCTCTCCAGAATCTTCTTGCTTGGTTGGGAAGTTCTTATGTATTAACCTTAGAGTCCAAATCACACATCAAGTGATTACTATCTGTTCCTGCGTATAGCGAACGATTTGGCTGCTGAAATATTGGCCTTATTATTATAATTGATTACTTTTTACTAGACTTATACTTTTAGGAAACATTTGCATATATGTTTAGCTGTTCATATGTAAAATCTGCTATTTATTTTATTGCATTTAATGGTAAATTTTGGTTATTTCTAATTCGAAGAAAATTGTTTATTCACAAAAATTCGAGGAGGTTCGCGTTCGGTCTCAATGACTCAACCAGAATCGAAATTAAATAAATACCTGTAATCCCTCGTTGTGGAGCATTATTTCGATGATATTTTCATTTAATTTTAATTTATTCTTAGTTTCTAAATTCATTTATTAGAATTTTAATTTTCTTTTTAAACTTAATTTTATTTTTAGTTTTTATTTTTATTTTTTCAAGCTTTTTTTGTATTCTTTTATTTGGTTTTTTTTTAATTTTTTATTTATTTTTATATATTTTTTAAATCTTTTAATTTGTTTTAATTTTTCTTTCACATTTTGTTTTGATTTCCAAAGTTTAATTTAAATTTTTACCACATTTTTAATGTATAAATACTTTTGTATGTATTTTTATTTGCACTATATATAGTCTAAAGAAATTCATATTTATACACGTTCATATACATACATACATACGTATGTACATGCATATATGGAAGCTGCTAGTTTGGTAAGTATAAAAGTAATTGAATATGATTGCCACTATGACTTGGAAAACAAAAGTTGTAACTGAATACATACGAGTACATATATATTTCATTTTATTTACATTCATCGCTAACGACCTTGTTTGTTGTTTCTCATTCACACAAACTGTCTACCAAGTTTGGTTCCACTAGAAGATGAGGAAGTACGACAGCTTTTTTTTCGCGCATAGCCAATAAGGCAATATTTTGAGAGTAAATATTTGTATACATACTTACAAACATACATAAATATAATAGTTAAGAATTCATGTACTCAGGTCAGGCAAGTATTTTAACAAGACTTACTTGTGAGTAAAGTGAATAAGGTATTCCAAGCTTCGTGGAATATTGTGAGATAGTAAAAAAACTCATTTGGCTTGCTTCTATATAGCTGAGGTTTGTTAGATTGGAGTACTTGTAAGCGAGTGAGATCAACGTTCATCCCAAGAGAAGGTAGAAGAACTCATGTCTTCTCTAAGACACTTGCAATTGGGCTCTCTTCTTTTTTAATAAAAACGTTGGAGATGACATGTATACAAGAAACAAAAAAACCCGAGAAAGCTTGTCCGTGGCTCAGCATAACGGAAGAAAGGTCAGCAAACACCGCTTTTGGTATTACAGTCACGTGCGTAGAGGAAGTTTTCAAACACAATAAGTATTCTGTAAGGGTTTGAAGGCAATAGCCACCTTTTGGTTGACTCAGAGGTCGAATCTAAGCAATTGGCTTAGAAAAAACTACGAATCGTCGAGGTAGTGTCCATGCGCCCCAACGTAAGATAAGTAGAGGCTGTCAAAAGGTTTGGGTACCCGTTCCTATGCGATGGAACTTAATCGTTAAAATCTTGCTGCTTTCATTGTTAAAGAAGAAAGATACCTGAACCCTATTTAAAAATGGTTGACACGAAGAGAACTCGCCGTTAGCCACAATAATGGTAGATAAATTCTTGGTGGGCATTTCGCTTCAATGGCACGAGTTCTGCGAAAACGTCCCCCCATCGCAGGGTAGAAATCTGCTGGGAATTCCTTTGGTGTGAACCTCGCCTGGACAGATATACCACACGTCAGCGGCACATATTGCAGGAGCTATATAGAGGATAAAGAGATGGAATATTAAGTCGATTACGTAAAAACTCCGATAACAAATAACTCAATACAATACACAGCCGCAACAAAATCCTCGAAGCGTGTGACCCTAAGGAAAGATAAAGGAACGTTGCTTACAACATTTAAAGCAATTCGCTGGCCGGTCGTAAATTACGCAGCGCCGACTTTGACGTCTGAACTGTAGAGATGCAATTGAAGATGGTAGTGGTGTTTGGACACCACTCTTAGGACCGATACATGATACCTCCTGTTGCATCACTTACGCAGCGAAACATCTGTGCTCCCAGTAAATATACATAATCTGATGGGCACTTATTTGAAACCGAGCCTCAAACAAGACCTATAAGGAAGGGAGTACTCGCTTACAACGAGTCCATACAGCATTTTAGACAAGAACCAACGGCGTACCGACAGACTTTAAACTTCATTCACCGGGAGACATTCAACCCCTTATGAACTCTAGGTCCTAGGTCTAGGTAATCCTTCTCAGATATAATACGCCTATGCCAGCGTTTTTCCGAAACACTTCAGACACGCGTTTTTTTTTGGTATCGCCAATAGCTCCTGTTTCGGTTTTTCTTTTATCTTGGCAATCGCAGCAAAACGCTTTCCTTTCATAGATGCCTTCAGTTTTTGGAAGTCGAGAACGTCAGCGCGAGCCAAGTCCGTTGAAAACGGTGGTTGAGGCATGATAACGGTTTTGTTTTTTGGCCAAAAACTAACGCACAAGCATCGAAGTGTGAGCTGGTGCGTTATCATTTCCACAATTCTGTGCGTTCCGGACGAAGTGCTTCGCGCAAACAGCAAACATCATTAGTAACCTCTCTGCTAGTGATTCGACGATTATCCGAAATCATTTTCTTCACTACTTCAATGCTTTCATCGGTTGTTGACGTGCTCGGAAGACCAGCACGAGCATTGTCATTAACATCTTCTCGGCCTTCCTTAAACCGGTCATACCAAAATTGAACTTGTTTTCTGCTCATAGAATAGTAAAAAGTGCAAAATTACTCTTGCCAAAAGGTGCTACTTTGGACTGAGTATGCAATTGAAAAGTGGAATCCTCTTCCGACGAACGAAGATCAAACTCTACAAGTCCCTCATCGTTTCCGTCCTGCTATATAGAGCGGAAGCATGGACGATGACAGCATCTGATGAATCGGCGCTAGGAGTTTTCGTGAGAAAGGTTTTGCGAAAGATTTATGGTTCTTTGCGCATTGGTAATGGCGAATATCGCAGACGATGGAACGATGAGCTGTACGAGTTATATGGCGACATTGATATAGTTAGGCGAACCAAGAAGCAGCGGCTACGCTGGCTAGGTCATGTGGTCCAGATTGATGCGAATACTCTAGCTTTGAAAGTTTTCGATGCAGTACCCGCCTCAGGAAGCAAAGGAAGAGGAAGACCTCCACTCCGTTGGAAAGACCAGGTAGAGAAGGACCTGGCTATACTTAGTATTTCCAAACAGCACAAAGAGGAAACGAATGGCGCAATGTTGTTAAATCGACTAAAATCAGTAAAAAAAAAAAGAATAGTAAAAAATCGAAAAGCACACCGAATCACGACTAACCTTTTTATCTGTCAAAAACAAACTGACAATCCAAAATGGCTGATATTGCCAACAGATATAACAGACATATGTACCAAGAAAAAAAGCGAAAATCTACCACACGTTACTCAGGAAATTTGAAAATAACGGATATTTTTTGATTACAGCTCGTATTAAGTATACGTTGCAATAACAATGTTTATCGTAATAGCTTTAAACAATTGTAAAAGTTCTTGCTTTTCACTTTCTGCCAGTAACTTATCAAATATGTACATACATACATATGTACAAACACATTTAGGTATGTATGAAGTATGCTAAGCACTCACCTTATCTCCCACTGCCCGTTTGTTTATTAAGAACTGTGATTAATACGTTGGTTTGTATTCGATTAAGTTGTTGTTTTTTAATATCTTATTTTTATTTTATTTTTTTGTGTAAATGTAATAGGATTTAGTCACTTCAACTTTACAACTTAAATTATTCGTTGCAGCCACCGGCTAACTAATTAGAAAACCGGCTTTTTTTTGCATTTTAACTTCTTCATTCAAGAGAATTATTCAATTAATGCACTTCGCTTTGTTAGTGTATTGCACAATCTGGAAATATGTACGTATATATGTAAATATTGACAGCTGTCACCCACAAACCGATAAACAATCTAATAATATCCGTTTTTTGGTGGTCATACATACAACAGCAGGCAAAAAAAAAAAAAAAAATCAAACGCCTGAAGAAATAAAAACGAAAAAAAAAAAAAATAAACAAATTTAAAAATAAAACAAAAAAAGTTATTAAACAAGTACATCAAGCACTTTTCTATGAAATATAAGTATTGTGTTAATATAAAAAAAATTTAGTAGCGTCTGACTAAATTTTGACTTCACCGAATAACAAACGCTAAAAACTTATTTGCTTTTATTCATTCTTGTTTAATTTAACCGTATGTAGGTTTGTATGAAAGTCTGCGGTTTTGTTGTTTGTTTTCATCGTTTTGTTATTTATTGTCTTTATTTGCTTTTCACTTTCACCGCGTTTCATAGCGGCTTTCTTTGTCATTTATCATTTTTATTTTAATTTTATTTTTTATCATTTTTATTTTTATTTTATTTTAAAAAATTACAAGTTGATTTTATTTTCATTATTATTACTCCCAATGCAGCATGAGTAGCACATAATAAATAATCGCATTGTTTTGTTAGCATTTTGTCATTGTTATCGCATTTCAAATTGCCCATGCATATCTGAATGCATGTACATGTGTGTAGGTATATGTGGCAGCAGCAGTTCTTTCAGCCGTTGTCCCCAGGGAGACGGGCACAATATACAATATTGCCTGATACGTTGTCGATGCGCTTGCAACTCAGCGGGCCTGGTGGTGGTCGTGTTGTTAGAGCGAAGCGCACTCGGCGGCGCCGCTTCTTATTGAATTTTCAAATTTTCATAATATTTTCATATTGCAATATTTACACATATACACATGCCCAATTGTACACATTCGCCACGTCCGCTTGTTGCGGAAATGTTTCACAAAACTCTTCACCTAATTACCTACACAAATTGCACTTTAATTTAACTTATTTTCACTATTTATTATTGTTGGATATAAAAAATATTTCAATTAAACCGCGTGTACATCCAATCGCGTTGAAATTCTTCTCGTTTCTGACAAAAATTTTCTATCGTTTCCAATTGCTGCTATTTACTGGTGTTGCCGGATGCGGAAACTCTTATAGGAAATACGTGATTTCAGGAAATGTCCAATTGGGGTTGAGGTGGGGGTATTATAGATATAAGAATTGCTTGAATAATATTAGTTTTCATTCAAATTAAAGCCTTTCATATTTATACAATAACAAATAAAACTTGTAATCAAAAGTGTATTTTGAAACATAATTTAGATGTAATGTGAAATTTTTAGTAGGTTTCCACAACTTTCTATGTAAAATTTGTAAGAATTTCAAGAAAAGTATCAGAAAATTGCTTACTTCTTGCAACTTATTTTTAAAAAATTATAGGTTTTTAAGTTTAAGTAAATAAAAATAAGAAATCGTATTGAACTCAATAGATTTTAAGCAAAATTCTTTTAGAAATTCCAATTTATTTTAAATACAAAATTTTTTTGTACATCACCAATTACTCAATTAAATATTTTTGCATGCAACGCTGTGTTTTTCAGCAGTTTCGTGATTTCCAACTACTTTATTGTCCAATTCCCACTTCTATTTCGTAAATATTTACGAAAATGGTGTGGCAACGCGGTAAAATGAAAAATGTCATGAAAGTGAATAAGAAGGAAGAGGTGAAAACAAAAATGATTAGCTGCTCTTTGATAAATAGTGCTATAAATTTTCAGCCGTTGCTATAAATATAAAAAGTAGCTGCCTAGGGTGTGCTGAGAGGTTTTGGGTTATGCTAAATGTGTTGTTGTCCGAGCTAAGCTAATACTTTTTGCTAGTACAGAATAGGAAGCGCCGTGACCGTGTTTAAATTTTTACTTATTTCGATGTAAGGATAACTGCAACCAATTTGCAAAAATATTTGTAGCTGAAAAACGTACATAATTAATTTTAAACCCTGAAATAATCTGAAATACCGTCAGCTGAGGTGAGCGTCAGCATTTTTAGTGGATCCACACCTCACTTTTGCGGTTAAATTTGTATGAAGTATCGTGAGAAGGGGGCGGGTGCGTACACTAACCAGTCAACTTAAAGCGTACTACCATGAGAAGGTTCATAGGTACTTGCCCTGACCCCTCGGCCTGGAATATTAACTCCGCTTCAGCGGATATATCGTGCAAAGGGCAGAGAAAGAACGATTTAGAAACAAAGAATTATTTTAAATTTCAATAACAGAAACTTCCAAAACTATTATCTTTTACTGCTTTGATTTATTTTATAGTAGTTTTTTTTTCCTTTTCCTTGCAAATTCCACCAGCTGTTACCCATCAATTTATACAAATTGTGTGGCTATTTAACTCCAATCGAAAGTCCAATGTCTTCTTTGTTCAAGTTTTCCAATTTTTTATTCATTTTATTCCTCTCAATAGCACATTTTGTCTGTTGTCCATCGATAGGAGGTTTCATTTTTCGGCAGCAAATGATCCGAGTACAATGAGCTCATTTATTTTCATTTCAAACAGCTGCGCCGTGCTTCGATGGAGTATATATATTTACATGCATACATAGCTATGAATATATATATGTATGTATGTATATGCTTGAATGAATTCACAAAATATTTCGGTGTCCAGTATCCGTAAAGCGAAAGTTAAAAATGACAAGTATCCTCATATATTTAACTATTTAATATGCACTAAGGTGTCTTAACCTTTTGGGACTTAATTTTTTATAACGGTTTCGTAACAAAGTTTCGCGCCCCTTATGCCATTTTCATCATCCCAATACAACTAAAACACATTAGGTCAAATGTTTTGGATCCTCTTAATGGTGTAGCTGCAATAAATTTCACAATATACCCTTTCTGTAATGAAATTTATAGGTACCAAGCCACCGAGTAAACCCTATTGCTTCACATACGGCTTATTGTCACAGATGTATCCACGAACGCGGTACACTCTCGTGCTCAAAAGCTCATTCGATTTCGCAAAGAAGTAGAGTCAAAGTGAAAGCTTCTTCTCAACCCTCTGTAGACAGCTCCATCCGCAGGCGTCTGACAGGATTTTCAAACCATACTTTGTGTGTTCCAAACTAATTGTTAAAAAGTTCATAACTGGTATTACGAACTCCGGGTTACCACTAAGGTTTCCTCATCTTCACACACTTTCTTCTTAGTACGGATCCTGAGAGTAGAGATCTTTGGAATTACCTATCTAAGGGGCTGATATGTCCACCTCACCTCCAAATGAGAATTTATTCGTGAAAGCTCGAATGGAAAGTCTTCCTTCTTCCCCCCACCTCCTCTAAATACCTGATCTATCTCCTATAGATGGGGGTGGTATTCTAATCTTCACTTAATACCTAAAATAAGAAGGGGTAACACAACTATTTGGGCATAAGCTATGTACCTGTCTCCAAAGCAGACTTCTCAAGACTTTTGCCTCTAAGGACTCTACGGTTATACAAGTTTTCTAAATATGAACAGTTATTTTTATACAAAATCGCGTATGCTTTACTTTCTTTGTATTATATGTATGTCGATGTGTTGAGTTCTTGATGTTATTGTGCAAGTTCAAAAGTCGTTTGAACACGTCACAGTGGGAGCTAGGACGTTGTAGCTGTAAGAAGATCTGCTGAGTCATGCCGGACAAAAGGATCATTTCATCTCGCCTGCCGTTGAAAAATGGATCGCTAGTCACGAAAGGCGGTCCTACACTGCACTTGTTACAATGAGTGTCTCCAACTCTCGATGATTTTCCTGTACCTATATGTATGTCCAGGTCGACGAGATCTAAAAGGAGAACTGGGAATCCTTGACTACCGATGTCTGCATGGCTTTAAGAAATGGAAATGCCTAACGCCATCACAAACAAAGCACCGATGGGATATGCTTCTCCGTCTTCTTTACTGGCGTAGACACCGCTTAAACGATTGTAACCAACTGGATATATCAATTGTAGTTGGGTACATCTTCAAATGAGCTTTCCCACGGAATATAGGTCTTCCTAATCCACTGGTTCCACCGGCGGGTAAAGCATCGAAAATTTTCAAAGCTGGAGTGCTTTTATCTATGGATGATATGACCCAGTCAGCGTAGCCGCTGTCTTCTGATTTTCTGAACTATGTCAATGTTGCCGTACCGCCCATCGTCCAAACTCACAAAGGACCATATATCTTGCACATAACCCTTTTCTCAAAAAGAACTAACGCCGACACTTCTGCTGTTGTCATCGTCCATGGTAGGACGAAACATGACCTATCCAGCGTAGCTGTCTCTTGATTCGACGAACAATGTCAATGTCGCTTACTGTGGTACTCGTTCCCAACTCGCAAAGAACCAGAAATCTCGAAAAATATTAGCTCATAAGATATCGTCATCATCCATGCCTTCTCCAAAGCAGCACCTGTAGACTTTGCGCGGAGAAGAAATGTTAAAAAGGTTGCCTTGAGGAAAATTGGCAACGTTGCTAATACGTGACTAATGATTACTTCATTCATCAATATTTACCAGAGAATATTTGATGTGATTTAAGTTACAATCCCAGAATAATGGAAATTTGTATCAATGAAATTTAAAGTTTCAAATGTTTAGAAGCTGAAAATTGGCAACGTCGTCATTTCGTTCACCAACATGCATAAGAAATTACTTGGTGGAAGATTTTCGCTAAAAGATTGCCTCGAGACACCAAAGAAGTAATTTTTGACTTCTTCCCTCTGGGCGCATTCTTTCCTTCATTATAAATACAAAAGCAGTGCATTTAACAAGGCGCGCATTTTGTTCTTTTTTACATCCTTTTTATTTGCTAAGTTGCCTCTACTGCTTCGCCACAATTTAGGCTTTTCAGTAAGCGACATTAATTACTCACACCATAAGCTCTCTAAGTTTGAAGAGAAATATAATCCACCACTTCGATATGTGCCAACTAATCTGCAAATTGTACTGCCGGCTAACCGATTTTTCTATTTCACAAATACAAAAAAATGTATGTGTTTAGGAGTTCTACACACTCCCAGGACTTTCGGTTACTCATGCGCCACGCGCCTGCTCGCCTGCCCGACCAATTTAACGCTCGATTGCACTTGAAGTCGCGTTGCATATGCCAATGCCAACAGGACCGCAGACAACGCGACGCAGATTGAGCACAAAAAAAGCAATAACAATAAATGTTAAGAAAACTGAAAATGTTTGCTTAAAAACTTGCAAGGATTAAGCATGTAAACAAAATAGTAAAAAAAAGAAAAAATTTCAGGTTAAAAAAATATTCATAAAAATATTTAGAGTTAAAGCTTTCTTTAGCTACTTGTCTTGTTTGTGCTTTTTTCACTTTCTCCCGACGACGTACATATGTGTATGTAGTTAGTGTGTGGCGCGTTAGAAGCACTTAACCTCAACAGACGCACCGAAAAAACTCATCATCAAAGCACTATCCACACTATTCTTCACGCCGGCAAATTTATTGCCCAAAAATATATATCTTCTCTGCACTTTTACACACTTTTTAAGAAAAAAAGTTGAAATAAACCACAACAACAGCAAATAATCAATACGACAAACTTTATGCATTCAATTTTTAAGCGAAAGCGAGGCTTTGCTAATGTCACCAAGCAATGAGAAATAAAAAACATGTGACTGCATCGCGTTGCCAACTTCTTTAATACTTGCAGTAATAAGAAGTTAAGGGAGAAGCGGTAGGAAGGAGAAAAAGCATACATATGTATGTGAGTGAAATGTAGTTACTGAATGAAATTCAATTACAACATTGACGCGCAACAACAACAACAACTACAAATGCATACACATACATTTATATATGCATTAAATAAAAGTTTTACAAAGAAAATTCGACATTTTTTGTTTGATTGTATTTAGACATGGCAATGTGTTTTCTATTTTTTGTACACATGTATGCACGTACGTACATACTTGTAAGTACATATGTGTCGACTAAGTTAGAAGCATTGCGACAAGCAATTGCGGCAAAACGGTTTTCAAGTGACATTGTCAGACATACGCACACATACACATACGCAAAATCTTACACCAGCACGGAATTGAATGAGAAAAGTTTCTTTCCACAAATGCGTTTCTGCAAATGATGTCGCCGACAGTTAGTGTCGAACGCGTGCACACACCTACACACACATGCATAAACATACATTTATATACTAGTATTTGAAAAATATTCAATATTCTTTTTCTATAACTTAGAGCAACTCATACCCTTAATGTTGGTCTGTTTAAGTTGTAAATTTATTTGCTGCCAAGATATATCTACAGCTTTGAAGTCTAACGGTAACTTTAATTAGCTCCATAGATGCGTTAAAATTCTCGGATATGTTGTAAAAAGTTTTTCTTAGCTTAAATTCAAATAGAGGAGAATTCCCTTTTGGGAACGGAGTTTAACACAGAAATTTTATTTCTGATTTCTAGCAGCACGTCGCTTCCACTTATCCACAGTGCTAACGTTCTATAATTTATACTCAAGATTTTGAGAGTTATAGTGGGATTTTATTTTCTTTACATTGTAAGTAAATCGAACCGGAGAGAGTTCTTCATCTTATTTGGTTATTTTGAGAGAACCTCGACCAGTTACGGATCATATTTGTATAATTTGCCGGCTCCGTATTTAACATAACACGAACGGCTTGCGAGAGGGGTTCACTTCTATGTCTGTTAACTGAGACAGATTTACTAAAATTTTAATATTCTTATTCCTACAGTGTAAATCTCGCTTACTCATATATGTATATTACTGAACTGCTTCGATCTTGTTCCTTCCAGGCAATCACTGCAACAGCCATTTGGAAAGTCTTCACAACATACTACCTGCTTTCCAATCTCTTCCATTGTGACACCAAGAAACATCACAATTTAGTTCGATCTCACAGCAGGGCCTAAAAACCGCACATGTCTTTGAGTTACATCAGCGTTGCCAGAGGCGCAATCGTGTCTTCCAACCTTGTGAAATTAAAATAATGGAATTAAATTTAGCGAGCTTTTTAGTTTGACAACTCTCAGCGCGGTGCATGACGATGAAATAATTTTTTAAAATCGACAAGGAGATTAGATATTCCTTAAGATGCCTTGTACTCTCTTGTAGTAAAAGCCGCCTGGCAACCAGATTATATTGTAACCTCTCCATTGAAAACTAAACTCCAAAACTTTAATTGTAACGCTTCCTTCACAACAGCCACTTTGCTTGAAAAATGCTGTTCATCTGCGTAGAGTAAATGATGAGTCGCATGAAAGGGCTACTATTGTAGCTCTTCTCCTCCAGAGAGGCTGACAATGTATTCGTTAGACAGATGGAAATGCTCTACATAGCCTAACCATGGATATAGCAGTTAAATGGGGGTTTCAAGTTAATTGCTGAATAAAACGAGCCGCGTTCATGAATACCAGACCCGGTAATTTATCACCGCAAGAGAAGAGAAGAGACATCTCTTGTGAGGTTCCTTAATTATTTCTCTGAGAGTTCTTGAATCAATGATGGGTAATAAATAGGTTGAAAAGGTTATAAACTTGAGGAACATTAGGGAGCCAACCTTTGTGCGAGGCAATGTTTTGAGAGCGATAGAGAGAGGTACATAAAAGAGAATGTATGTATCGCGGCTGCGAGAGCCGAGTAGTTAGGATTGCATACTGCTATTCCAGCATCCAAAAGTTATGTAGAATTATTTAAAATTAAAAATTAAGTTAATTTTTCTAATTTCGGCTGCCCCTCGACAGGGAATGTCAACCCTTTCGAGTATGTTTCTGACATGAAATAAAGGCTCCTCATAAAAAAGCCATCAGCCGTTCGGAGGTGGCATACTAAAAGCTGTAGACCCCTCTATTTTTCTCCTCCATTAACAAATATGTAAATATATATGTATATCTGACATCTACAGACTCACGTAATGATGAAATGACTTTTCGAGTAAGTTGAATTTAATAAAGAGGTCTAAATTAAAATGAATACCACTTTTTCTTTAGGGAAGTGAATCTTGGCATGATCTATTTCATAAAATCGTATTTACGATTCGATCTACTTGATTGGGAACCGACCTATTTAATAAAATCCAAATGGAGTTGACGTGGCTTTTAGTCAGTGACGGACGCCCTTGAGCCAATATACCCATTGAGATATCGTTGAGAGGCTCTTATCTTCAACTACTACAACAGTCAAAGCAATATTGTCCGAGTAACTTGGGTCACGCAGATGTTAAGGCTGGATAGTTACAGAGGTTGTGTTCAATGGACTCTTCCCTTTCTTCGTCCCTGTAACTGCGACAAAAATCATTAGAGCCCAATTAAACAGAGAACCGTAATTCCACCTGTCGTTATGCTAATGGAAACCGGCCTAAAGGGATGGGATGTCGTTAGCGTATAATTTATAGTTGATGGAGGTACATCTGAATCGCAGGTGTGGTTAGAAGAATTCCTTCTTTCATAAGTTCGTCTCCTGTGCCCATACTACGTTGTGCTGAATTTAATCGAGAGCTTCCACTTTAGACATCTGACGATAGATCCAGAGGAACGAATTTGGTAGATTAAAGAGTCTTCTTATTGCGAGGATATCAGCCGACTCTTGAACTCTATCTAATTTTCTCTTGAAATTAATTTTCTCTTCTCTAGTGACAGCCAACATACCATATTCGGTTTAAGATCTCATCTCTTTCATATCGCCTTTGGATGTTACAGCCTTCCTCCAGCTTTCTGCCGTGTTCCACATCCTACTGAGTTTTCTATATAAGATTATGCCGGGTTATTTGATTTCGTTAGAGAGGGTGATATCCATGCCCTTTAGTAGAGGTGGCTTGTACGTCCCGGTAAACAGGATCATTACGGGGTTCTCTACTACGTGTGGGTCATTTTGGAGCTGATCGTTTAAAGTTTGTGGGTGCTTACTTGTCGTTCGTAGGGAAATATCGCCAGCGTATGCCACCACACCGCAGCCCATGTTGTTCAGTTATCGATTCATTGTTTGCTGCGAGATATCACTGCAGTGGAGATAATACTCCTTCCTGCAGGATACCTCTTGATTGTGTGGTGCTCGGTGATACTGGAGCTGGGACAAACTCCACAAGATTCACTACGGGCTATTGTATACTGATTTCTCGAAGAGCCTCTATAACACATCGTGTTAGTTTGTCGGAGCGGCTGCGGTACTACTTTTTCTTCTTTACTGGCGTAGACACCGCATACGACATTATAGCCAAATTTATAATATAGCGTCAATCATTTCTTTTTTCCCAAATGGAGGTACCGATTTCCTTCTCTACCTGGTCTTTCCAACGAAGTGCAGGTCTTCATCTTCCTCTGCTTTCGGCGGTGGGACTGCATCGAAAACTTTCAAATCTGGAGTGCTTTCATCTATTTGGACGACATGACCTAGTCAGCGTAGCCGCTGTCTTCTGATTTTCTGAACTATGTCAATGTTGTCGTACAGCTCATCGTCCAATCGACTGCGGTATTCACTGTTCCCTACTCACAAGAACTTCTCACGCCGACACTTCTGATGTTGTCATCGTCCATACCTTCGCACCATAAGGTATGGACGGGAATGATGAGAGACTTGTAGAGTTTTGTCTTCGTTCGGAGAGAGAGAACTTTTCATTTCAATAGCCTGGCCAGTCAAATCTGTTGACAAGAGTGATTTCGAGATAGATTTCAAGGCTGAGCCGAGACTATTTGTTCGATGACAGGAGATATTTTGTCGTGCCTTCGTTCACTACCAGACTCATACCTTTCGCTTCCTATCAAGTCTGGAGAAAGCAGAACTCACGTCGCAGTTGGTGAGGCCAATAATGTCAATATCATCAGCGTAAGCCAGCAGATGCACACTCTTATACGATATTGTACCTTCTCTAATCAGCTCTGTAGCTCGTATTATTTTCTCCAGTAACAGATTAAGGAAGCCACATGAAAAGGAATCACATTGTCTGAAACGAACGGCTCGGTTCGGAAAGTACCTTACCAAACCTGACGTCACTTTTAGTGCTACTTAAGGTCAGTTTACACAGCAATAACAGCGAGCACGAAACGTAACTCCGTATTTTTGGATTTAGCTGATAATACTTTATTTTCGGCAATAATTTAATTCGATTTTTATGTGCAATCTATGTTTGTACATACGACTACTATGCTTGCTGTACTCTAATTAAAAATGTTTTACATTTTATCTAATATAAGATAATGATTATTTCAACGAAAATTCTTCCAAAATTCCCACATATAAAAGTGCAGTGATTTACTAAAAATTCGATTAAAATTGAAGTCACTGCATTTGAAGACGGAGAAAATGTTCCAATTGAAGAGACATGCCTTTGTGCTTGCTTGTATCATTGTTATTGGTAGTAATCACTATGTGGCGGCGCTAGTGGGACCATCTTTTGGACGCCCCGTACCTACAAGGGAGCGAGCTACAAGTAAGTATAAATCTGTTCTTCATTATATTCATTCCCTTTTTGAATAATTGATTAAATAGTGAATCAAGTGAGAGCCAAATGTTTCCTCTTTTGGTCCTTGAGAAAATGTGTAAGGAAAGTTTGGTGCTTTCCTCTGGAGCTGAAGTTTAACAAATTTCTGTTTGGTGGGTTTGATACAACATAAGAGTAATTTAAAGTCGATGAAACCTTAAACTTAGATCGGGTAGGGTATTTTGTTAGGGACTAACGAATCATCAGGCGAAATGATTGCGATGCAATTCGAAACGATGGAGTCAAGACAGTACAACTAATTAGTAATCAAAGTGGGATCACAAGAGTGGTGTTATAGATTAGTCTACACAAACGGCTAAGTATGCGCTTTGTGAAAGGAATTCTGCAGAGATTACTTTTCCTTAATATAAGATTTATGCAACGATTTACCAGCTATCTTATCCTCGCTACTGCCTTTATGTTCCAATTTCCAGCAATGTGGGTAACTCAGAAGCATAAAGCTGCTGGAAGAATTGCTGAATTAGATCATAAGGGATGTTGCCATTCATCCGAAAAGCAACTGTACTAAAACTCCAATTTTATCCATTTTTTTTTTTTACTTATTTTAGGCACCACAACTCTAGCAACAACATTATCACCTACAACAACAACTGAAGCTTCAAATGTCCATAACCATCCGAAATTTTATGTATCTGAGAATCAGGTAAACACATCACACCAAAACTCTGTTTCTTTCTTTCCCTCTATTTATCACACTTATTTCAGTTAAATTGGTTCGGCGCAACCGTTTATTGCCAAGAGCTGAATTGGCGGCTTATTGCTTTGGACTCTGCTGAGATCACGGTAGAATTCGAGGAGTTTCTTACGAAATTCAGTAAGTGGTGCAGTTTCTAAGTTAGAACTTCCCTCAGTTTTTCACTCAACATTATCTTCCTTTTCGTTGTAGATTTACGAAATCGTGCTTGCTGGACCGCCGGTAATCAGCTAACCGATATGAAGACGTGGCGTTGGGAACTTGGCGGAAAACCACTAAATTACACCCATTGGGCACCACATCAACCGGATAATTATAAAAATCGGCAACACTGCATAGCTTTGTTTGCCAAAAGTTTGCAATGGGACGATGATTTTTGCGAGTCCGCACATTATTTTGCGTGTTTGAAAAATTAATTAAAAACGTTTGGATTATATAAATACATATATTATATATAAAATTGTTGCTCAAAGTTTCTTGGGTCTTACTAGTATCACGGTATATAAACTTACCATACCAAGTGGTAGAGTGAAGCCACAAACGAAAGTTGCAGTGGAAGATTTCTAATAACCCAGGAGGATACTATATGTTTGACAGCTTGAATACTCGGGATAACAACCTAACCGATTGCTGTCATTTCATAGCCCTGAATAGGTCAGAGAATCTTTGTTCACAAAATAAATCCAAACCTCTTAGATTAGAAAAGGCCCTCATGCTCTCTACTCTGTCTCTTTGATGCTAGAGTCTTTACAGCTTGTGCACTTAGCTTGTGGAGACAGGTATGCGCTTCGAAACTAAGTTGCTTACCGATTTGAGTAATAAGGGGCTTGGACTCCACCTCTTGTCTAAGAAATATATAATATATGGTGTTGTGACAATTTTTCTGTCTAACATATTTTTGGAAAAGAAATTTGAAAAACAGCAAACCAAACAGAATGAGAGATTTCGATTCCGTGCAACTTTTTCTTTGCCTAAAAGAAATTTTTGGCTTAATGGCAATGCCAGGCCGACGATTAAAAGTTAGTCCTGGAAACCAGATTTGTTTTTTAAATTTCATTTTTTAAACTTTAGCAAATTGTTTCGCTACCTCCATTTTAAGAAGAATTAGTAAAAAAAAATAAAGAAAAATTTAACCTTAACAAAAAACTAATAAACAAGCGTGTTTAAAAAAATTAACAACCGAACCAGAACTATTTTGAAGATATAGTGCTATGTTATACTACATGAAATTTTAAATGATATAAACTAAAAAAAATATAACAAAATATAAATAAAATTAAAAAAATATAACAAAATAAAAATAAAATAAAATAAAATAAAATAAATAAAATAAAATAAAATAAAATAAAATAAAATAAAATAAAATAAAATAAAATAAAATAAAATAAAATAAAATAAAATAAAAAAAATAAAATAAAATTAATTAAAATTATTATATGCGATTTAATTAATTAATAAAAATGTTGTCATATCAGATCAAGTTTCGATTATTTACTTATTTATTTATTGCTGCCATAATACCAAAATTTAATACAAAACCTGAAAGATTTAACTTGTCTCATACAAGTTTAAATGACAAATAAAGACATAATTAAACTGCCAACAAAGAGTCAAATCACAATTTCAATTAAATTAAAGACCGAAAACAGAGCAAGGAGGAGTACATTTCACTTGTACAATGTCTAATAAGTCTTACTAATACATATGTATAAACATTTATACATATTTTATGTCACATAAAATACAATATACATACCCGTATAACAGGGTATAGCTTAAGAAGAATTTATTGACTTTTATGTGCGATGTTTAGTCTTCATCTAAAATCAAATTCGTTCAGTTCAACACGAGAAAAACGCCCATTCATTGAGTCAAAGCAGCGGTTAAACAAGCAGTCAGGAATATTTTATACATACACCTACATACGTACACGAATGACTATATCCTTGTTGATGTATCATTAGTACGGCCAATCTGTTAGCCATACACCACTACAACAAATATGAAACTACAGCCGTAAGCTTTTTGTTAAAATCAAAGCGGCGCAAGGATGAGAGAGCTAAACTACCGTCAAACGTTTGATATACAAGTAAGTAGGCGATTTGTATGAATAGCCTAAGCACATATCGTCTGTACATACTCACACATGCTAATTTGGTTGGCTTAAAATGCTTTATTCAACCCACCTTACGCACCAAATATCTCTCTGTTTTCATTCTATCACTGCATATGGCGCTCATATGTCACCGCTAAACAATCATTAACATTTATCATCTTGTCAACATAATGACGACTCAACGCTGAGGCGTTACTTAAATATACATACACTAAATTTGGCGGCATTTCCAGAAAATACCCTGTAGGAATGTTGGGATTTAAGGGTTTTACAAAAGAGTAAAATGTGTAGAGAGAGATAATTTCCATTGAGGACATCTCTCTGTGGTATTTTTGAAAAAAAAAAATAAATAAATCAATAAAATCTTTTGTATAAGCTCTCTTCAGGTATTATTGAATATAATTGGATTTGAGTAATAAAAGTCGATTAGCGGTCTACTGCGATTCGGGAGAGCTTTTACTGTTATGAAGCTCACAGTGATACAGTGGTTTTGTGACAGTACAAAAAGATCTAAAAATGTGCTTCTTACCAGAGTTGTCGTAAGTTTTTTGGTGCTTTGATGGGCACTCACTTTTTATAGCCCCCTGTGTTGGATGAAATTTTGCTTAGGTCTCCGTTAAATCGAAAAGAATTATGATATTTATCAAAAATACTATTCTTTATGACATTTACCTTGAAAAGGTAGTAATCAGAGCACGTTTTTGTATAAATTCTGTTGAAATATTTAAGAAAGACACACCGTTGCTTTCACCAAGAATTTTTATAAATTCGATTTAAAACAGAAAAAATGTCCAAAATTCATTTATTTGGAAGGAATGCTCAAGTGGATGTATAAAGAAAAATAAATTAAACAAAAAATAATTAATTTTTAAAATAAACGTCTATGAATATCACATTAAGCAATTTTTTCTAACATTTAACGACTCAATAAAGTTAATAACCAGTGACAAACTAGTTACAAGAGAACAAGTTGGTAGAAAGTTCAATAAGGTCAACTAAATAAAATTAATGGCTAAAAAGAAAACAACCAGTGATAAACTAGTTACAAAGGAACTAGTTGGTAGACAGTACCACAAAGTCAACTTGCTTTTATGATGCTTATTTTGACTTAAAAGAATTTTATTTTATTGTAAATTATAAAAGTTAGTACCGAAGAAAATTGTTCCTACAGGGTGTGTATATACGTATATATATTTATATGGATGTACATACACATGTTTATACACATACTTATGCATATTTATTTATCTGTTTAGTGTAGCGGCTGTCAAGTCACAGCGTTTAGAAATTGAATTGAAACTACATTTGTGGCTGCGAATATATGTGTAACGTCTGTATGTATGTATGTACAATATGTATGTGGCTCATTCTGTCTAGAATTTGTGCAAACGCTCTCCAATTCAATTTGCACGGCAAATGTGTTGCGACATCAATTCAAAGCCGAACCTATCTATGTATCTACATATATATGTACTCGTGTGTACAAGTATATATATATGTTCATGTATATACATACAAACAAATAGGTCGATTCAAATGTTCTTAATGCCAAGCTTACAAACAATTCAACAGGCCAACTTATGAGCTTACATACTAACACATACTTACTGGTACATATATTTGTATATACCGTTGTACAAAAACACATTTACACCTCTCCTACACTCCACCACACACGTGTTTCTCGAAATAATAGGCTATCAACTGGTTTCGTTTATCATTGACAGCAGCGACATCATCAAATCCTTGTATTTCACGCAGGGCCATGCTGATATATGTACATATGTATGTACGCATCGTTCGTATGTAAATATGTGATTTCCATGATTTTGTATCTAAAATTCATTGCTTCCACACAAACACACCAACTCTCTGTGCATGGGTGTATGTATGTATGTATCTCATTGATTGCTGTTACATTCGTGATTACTATGCCAAATCCTTTTGGGCATTCAAATCAGAAATTCATGTTAATCGGCTAAAACGCTATTTGACATTTCTGCTTAGCGTCTGTCAGCGCGTTTGGCTTAAAGTGTAATTTCAGGTTTCAATTTATAAAAGCATGTGAGCAAGTACATATGTATATGTATACGATTAGGTATGTCTAGTGAGCTGTTTTTTTTTGCTATCGGAAAATCATATACCCACCCATTTGGGGCCCAAACTTTTCGTACTTAATTCTACAGATAATCCGAATCAGAGAAATAAAAAATCTTTCAAAAAAAGGAATATTTATTTTAGCAGCTCTTCTCACCTTAAAAACCAAAATCTGTCTTTTTGTCCTTGTCACTCTCACTAGAAAGTAATCAGAAAAGCACCAAGAAATTATTGGAAATCCTTCTGAGCGGGCGTTGAACGATACTTAGTAGGAAATAAATTAAGCGAGGTCATCTCCAAGATCTCTGCGATCCCAAGCTATATCCAGAAGTCAAACCGTGAATGAAAAATTTATTGCAGGGAAATGCTAAACATTTTAACCAGCTCCTACTCTGCAGGATACTCCAAGGGCTAACACGCTTCTCCCCTCAGAAATTCTCTATTATGTAGTATTAACTCAGCCTGTTTCTTCATGCGGCATAAACTAAAGCAAAAATTATCTTCATACCCAAGCGCGGTTGGAAAAGTCATGTGAATCCCAAAAATGTTCGCCTAATAAGCCTCACAACTTTCCTATTAAAAATCTTATAGAGAATGCTTGAACTTTATATACGTCAAGTGATATCTCCAAATAAACTACTGGAAAACCAGCAAGTCGACTCTAAAGGTAAATCTGCAGACATAACTCTTCACGATATTTTCAGGGGATTGAGAGCGGTCTTGCTCTCAAAGAGCATACCTTAGGTATATTTCTACACATCGAGAGGACCTTTTATAATATCTTACCAGATATAGTAACGTCTGCAGTCCGAGAATCGATACCCATTTCTGGGACTGCGCAGGTAGTGAATCTTGTGAAATCCCTTTTATTAAACAGTGCAATTTTTGCTTAATTAGGATTTTGCAACAGCTGCAGGGTATAGTGGGGAGTTCTCTCTCATTTTCTTTGGTGCCTAAAAGTCTATTTGTCACAGTAATATTGCTTTCATACTGGAAAACAGCTTCAGGACCTAAGCGATTTGCTCCAAAATACCCTTCACATAGTAAGTAGCTGGTGCAGTGAGAGTGGTTTGGATGTAAAGCCTTCCAAGGGTGCCGAGAATGCTCTTTCTACCGAGGTTAAATACCTAGGCATTATCTTCGATACAAAAGTCAGCTGGAGGTAGAAAGATTAACGTAAGCAAGCGAAATTAATCGCGATAA